ATAAAAATAGGGGAAAATGCATTCTTTCTGTTCCTTTGGGGCTACATGAGCTGACTTTTGGGATCGGGCAAGGCTGCTCAGCCTCAGGCCTGGTCCAACATGGCCAGTACCGCAGTATGTGGAAATAAAGGCCTGCTGGGGGTAAAGGAGTGCAGGACAGAAGGTCCCTGGGACTCAAGTGGCCACATGTGAACATTTTTTTCCTTTTGAAATTCTTAAAAATAGTTTTGTTTCAGGGAAAGGTATAGCTTGAATATTTCATGAGGGGGAAAAGCAGTGATGAAACTGATCACATTTTTACCAAGATGAGCACTACCTTTTTCTTACTGTAATAGCAGAACAAAACCCATAAAACAAGTGGGTCAAGTTTTCTAAGCTGCTGAGAGCTAAGATGTGGTTTGTAGGGTGAGGCTGGGGGGGGGTCTCTCTGCCTTTGCAGATGCAGATTTACAGCTGCAATTCAGCTGATGCAATATCACAGTTGAGGTTCTTGGCATGTTGTGGGGTACCCCCAGGGTACATGTCAGTGTGTGATGAGCTGGGTTGTGGCATGGGAAAATGCTGCTAGATGCCAAACGCACCTAAATGATGAATTGTGTGAATTTTCCTGCCATCTCATCCTCTCGTGGCAAACAGATCTGTGCTTGGGGGGCAGCTTGGGGGCACCATGTGTGTTACAGTTGTAAGGTGTGAGCTGCATGTGTGATCTCCCCCCAAACCTCAGTGCTAATGGGTTGTGCAGTGAATGAGGGGGGTAGCGTGGATGCTGAGAGGAATAGCTCCAGCTCTCCCTCTTCAGGACACTTGCTGCAAGCAGAAGTTAGTGTGAGCTGTGAGTAATCCTGCCCCCCCCCAACAGATAAGGGGCAGAACAGGTGCTACCGTGGGATTTCAGCTTTCCTAATCAGTGTTGAAGAGGATAAGGAAAGACAAGCAAAGTGTCCTTGGGAAGGCAGCACATACAGAAGGAAAAGCCACCAAGAAAGTAAACATGGGTGTTATCTGCTCCAAACAACGACCTGCCATGGCTATAAAATTCACCGGCCTGAGACGTCGTGACCACCTTTGCCTCAAAGGTGCCGAGTCTGCCGGAGCTCCACAGCGACCGTCTCTACGTTCGCGGGACTTCCAGGACATTCAGCCAAGGATTGGTGAGATCTTATTACCGGGGTCCTACTCTGTCTCTGCTTTGCTTCACCTCTTCCCCTATCCCTTCCCTGTCCCCTTCCCGGGAGCTGGTGGGTCGCGGCGGCTGCCAGCTCGGCCGTGGCCGCCCGTTCCCAACTTCCCCGTCCCTTGCTACCAGGCTTGCATCCCCCGGGAGGGCTTCTCGGAGGGGTGGGTTGTGGGTTGGTTGTGCTCGTGTTGTGGTAGTTTTGCCCTGAGACAAAGCCGTGTCGTATCTTGTCCCGTTCACTATGATGTCCGATATTGTTAGCAACTGGAAGCTGGAGCAGTTTGTGCTCCAGAAGTGTCTCCCTCCAATTTGGTCCCCAGGGTCCTTCCAGGGCCCGGAGGCATACCAGCAGCTCTGCCAGCAGTGGGAGAGCTGGTCGGAGGAGAACAAAAAGCCTAAGCCCACGAACAAGTGCAAGAAACGAGCGGCTTTGCAGGGTCTGTTGATGGTGAGCAGGGAGTTGACAAAATTGCTGAAGGAGGCTCTTGAGAATGTGCAGAACTTGGAGCAGGCCAAGTGTGAGCTCAAAATGCAGGTGGACAATTTGCGTGCAGAGGTGCAGGGTTTGTGCGGGGACTCTCTGCGGAGCGCGGTAGAGATCACCCGGCTGGAGAGCAAGCTGGGCTATGAGAAGCTGAAAACGGAGGAGCTGGAGAAGGAGGTTGGCAAGTGGATCGGGGAGACCCACGATGCGCAGAGCGCAGTGCGGGCAGTCCTGCAGGATGTCCAGCGGGACCGCGGCACTGGTCCCGATCACAAGGTGTGCCATGCTAAGATCCAGGAGCTGCAAGCAGAGCTGGGGGTGTCGAGGGGCATTGTAGCTGCCATTCAGGGCAAGAGGAGCCGGTTTGGGAATGGTGAGGGGGAGGACTCCCTAGACCCGCACTCACCCCACTATGATTATGAGGATGATGTGTGGGGGGCCAATGGCCCCACCAGGCCATCCCCCTATGCTCCTCTGCGGGAGGAGGTGTGCCAGCTTCAGGCAGGGGAGGTGGAGGCTTCCAAAATTAAAAAGCCCCCCCACGAGGAGCCAGTCAGCCATGTCCCACTCCAGGCCATAGATACCAACAGGGCTGTGTTCTGGTTTACCCCTGAGCAGCTCAAGACGGTGGGGAAGATGCTGGGGCCATTGACAAAGGAGACAGCAGTCAACTGGCTGTCCAGGGCCCAGCGTCTGCCCAAGTGCCAGAATGGCAGCTTGGTCAGCGACCTGATAGACATTGTGAGA